TTAGCTCAGTGGGTAGAGCTGACGACCCATGTACTGAGGCTGAGTCCTTGCTGCAACGGCCCAGGGTTTGAATCCGACCTGCGGCCCTTTGCTGCGTGTCATCCCCTCTCTCTACCCCCCTTTACTGTCTGTCTTCGGATCTCCCTATCTAATAAAAGGCATGAAAAGGCCAAATAAAATAAATAAATGACGGTCACGTTACGCTGATCCCTTCAGTTTCATTTGTGTATGTACGTGTATGTCTAAAGCGTAATGAACAGTGGAAACAGTTTAAATACTGGATGTTATCCTTTGTCATGCGTGCTTCTGTTTGTCACGATTAAGAGAGCTTTAAATATTCAGTTGTTAATGCTGCTTTTATATTAGAACTATAATGACCCATCTGGTATTAAATTCACTGTGACAGAGCAGAAAGTTACTTTGGGTGTGTATTTAATTGTTATTTATAATAACAAAATACTAATATTAAATAAATAAACACTCAATGAGGTAAAACTTTATTTTAACCAGCCTTATTTATCATTTAGAAGCAATATAATAAAAGATTTATAACACACTATAATGTGGTTGTAAGCAGATAAAAGGACATTTAAGTGTTTATTATTCCTATTATCTCTGATGAAGCATCTAAAACTGGTTTCTAAACTGTTACTTGATTATTACCAATATTACATAACTGAAATAATATAAATCAAGTCTATATATTATATATATATTATTTAATTTATTATTAAATATTGAGTATGCACTTTGTATAATTTAATAATTATGTATATGTTATGTTTATTAATAAAGTATGTAACTGTTTAAACAGCAGTTACAGATACTTTACAGGAGTAAAGTTACAGAAGTTACAGTCGTTGACAAATAAGTGGTAGAAAGTAACTAAGTACAATTACTCAAGTACTTAAGTACAATTTTGAGGTACTTTACTTTAGTATTTTCATTTTCTGTTACTTTATACTTCTCACTTCAGAAGCAAATATTCTACTTTTTATTTCACTACATTGATTTGATACTTTTAGTTACCTTTCAGCTTCAGATTACTAAAACAAAAAATATATTAAAAAAATAAATTACGATGTATTGAGCTACCCGGCAGTATATAAAAACATTAAACATTGAAGTGATGAACACATTAAAGCATCAATTATTATAATTCAATATTATAATATGTATTATTCTGAAACTGATCATTCTGCATAATGAGTACTTTTACTTTTTTAAAGTATATTTCGATG